CTTCCATCTTCCCCTGCAGTTATCTACCAACGTGCCCCTCGCTCCAGTCACACGTACGAGCCAGAAAACACTTTACTCTTTCTCCAGAGATTGCCAGTAAGACTTCTTCACTGCAAGGTGGGGTGGCATCTGGGGTGCCTGCCCCCGGGAATAGGATTAAAACCCCAAACTTGCATCACATTAGAAACAAACGATGACCTGATAGCTGTTAAGTCTTGCTTACAGCCTACGCCTGAAGAGACCCAACATCCTGTTTCTAAAAATCTGTGGGTTTTCAAACAGCTTTAGTCTCTGCTCAAATCCTCTAATACACACACACACGCACACACACAAATACTGTAAGAAATGGCTAAATCCTTCCAACCTGCAAATTCCTCAGCCAGACCACGTGAATAGTTCAGGACCATCCCCAGCATCTCCTCAGGAGAATACTGCATCGTTCTACAAGAAACAGATAGGAAAGAAAATTACGGCAACAACAACCAGCTATAGAAGCCTGGTAGCCAAAGTCCCACCCACGAGGAACCCAAAAGCAGCCACTTACGGGGATAGCTTGAAGATAACGGTCTGCCTTTTCTCGTCCTTCACCAGTTCGTGCTCTGGGAATCGGGACCGGTACAGTGCCACGTGGGGGTTATCGATACGCTTACCCAGCAGATCCTGAAAGTATCTGAATGCCACCTTGGGGGTCCTTATGGACTGCAGAAAGAAAAAGCACATCACCCAGCTGCATTTCTTTGGCTTTGCTGTTGTCAAACGAACCTCTCCCCAGCTATGTAGCGAACAGCTCTCGTTATGGGAGTTGGGAGCACAAGACCACTACAGAAAGCCAGTAACGCACCACGGAGATGAGAAGCACAGGACAAGAAATAAAAATTCCTAGCTCAGACATTTATCACGAAAGACCCAGCAGCAGGAACGTATATCCTGCGTACAGGAACCACCGTTGGCGCGATGAGAACTCTTACCATTCCTAGCGCGCTATCACCGAAGAGACGCTCGTTCTCCTTCAAAGAAACGGCCACGGGCGTTTTCCTTCGTGACTCCCTACATAGAAAGAGAGGAATAAAGCAGTCAAAACAGGTGAACATTCAATACAGAGTCCCTGGTGGGGAAGGGCGTTGTTTCCATTGCAGAAAGGCTAAGGGAAGGTGCTCGGATACCACCTACGGAGAGGAAGGCCAGCCTCTGTTCATCTGAAGAGCTGCAATAGCAGCACCTCCCTTCAGAGCTTTCATAACTCCTGATGTTTGTCACAACACGGGCAAATAACATGCTTTACCAAAACACAGACAGACGTCTTTCAAATTCACGGCCGAAGCTGCGGTGGGCAGATTGTTATTTTTCCCATAGCACAAGAGAACTTGACGAGAGGTGAGTCGTTTCTGCTCCCATTCATATGTTGGCACACCAAGGTGAGTATTTTACTACGATAACCACAAAAGGGCTTAAAGCTCTTCACGAAGCTCGTTGCACGCTACCTGCTCCCCAACGCCTCACGACACCTCATCAGTTGCCTAACGTAAGGCTACGACGAAACGACTTGCCGCAAAGAAGAAAGGCTCGCGAGCAGCTTTCTTGAGCCTGCTGCTTCGCGCTTCGACAAGGCTTGCTCGTTCTCCAGCAAAGCGAGACGGTTCCCTCGTTCTGTCAACGACCGCCAAGCACCAGGGAGCCGGGTGAAAAATTCCACGTATTACCACCTCTCAGCCCAGACTCCCAGAAAACGAGGCCGTTCCTGACCGTACGTCCTCCTCGGGGCAATCGCAATGGTCTCAAGCCCCAACAAAGCAGTCAGGAGCCCCCCACGTTACGGCTTCGCCGCCGGCGCGGGCTCGAGGAACGGCCGCTTACTTGTTTAAGACGATCTCCATCGGCACCCCGGGTTTCACGATGGCGATCTTCATCGATTCGCTGCCCACGTCCACCGACATCACCGCCACGGGCTCTGTAGCACGGGAGGAAACGGGAAAACCCCCGGTAAGAACCCGCCCGGCCGGAGACCGCGGTCCTTCCCGGCCCCGAGCGGCCTGGGACCGGAGAAGGCAGCCCGGCGGGAGGCGCCGAAGCACCGCGGAGCAGCGCCGGCCG